AGTTGTTGAATTGCTACTGGACTAAAGAATCTTATTAATATTTATGTACAGTATTAAACTAAAACTGGGAAACAATTTATTTTAAGTTTTCAAAAGGCGACGATAACACATTTATTTGTTGAATAGCGTCGTAGGCTTTATCTTAATGATCGCCATTAATCAAGAGACTAATACGGAAAACTGAATCTCTTGAATTACGTTTTCTCAGATGCGTGTTCAACGCTTCTTCACGGTTGATTTGCATGCCGTTGTAAAGTGCGACACGCAACGTATTAGCAAAGGAGGATCGTGAACACCAAGGCCTCAGTTATCTCTATACGAGACGCGAACGCGCTCAAGTTGGAACATGTCGGATACCACTATCTGTTTAACAAAAGCAATGCAGGATTAATTTTTGAAGAGCCGACATCGCCATATTAGCCGGAATACGGCGGTTTTCTAGGCGTTTCGTAATAAATATTCCGTAGGAGCTCTTGTTTCATTAGGTTTTACCGTTACACTGAACGGTAGGCGATGTACCACAAAGAAAAATCAACTCTTTACCCGCATTTATACACGCCACACGCTCTATTATGGTTTGCAACGCTCGGATGTGTTTTTGTGCGTTGTGTATCTCAAATTGAGATATTAAGCAATGGGATGATTTCATCCGAAATTTATTTATTGGAATTATTTCATTAGCGATCGATTAATGAATGAGTCATTTCGAGATAACCGGTCAAAACGTGCTCTCGAGTTCACTTTGCTATGCGGCGACATTTCTTTTAATTTTTTAGCTACATTGATTGAATGCTTCGAGTGATACGTCATGGTATTAGACATGGTACAACATTACGCATACATACATGTAAGCGCCAAATCTTATACGTTAAGAAAACATTTCTAGTATTAATACTAGACGAGAATTGTATCATCAAAATGCGTAGTTACTATCGACAAGATGTCACGATATCTATACCAACTTTCATTGCACCAATAATAATTATCAAATCTAAGCAAGTGGCTGAAAGGTTTCTACGCAACGTCACATAGAGAATTTGGTCTAATAACCCTCGCCCATGCACCAGCGGCGCGGCTGATTAAAAAAAAGCGTGAGTGCGTGTGTGTGCTCATTCTCGTACGTGAAAGTGGCGCGAAGGTAGAACAGGATGTGTTGCACAGTGAGTCACGGCCGCGCCGGCATCGCACGCGCAGGTAACATCCACTCTGGCGCGCTGTGCGCCGATGATAAGGGGCCACGTGAACGCGATGATTCATCGCCATGCCGTCCTATTGCACTCCGATCCGCTGTCCGAAAACAGTGGAAACGTTCGCTCGCCGGACGTTGTCTGTCGATCTGCAAGGAAACACCTTTCAAGAGTAGCGTTTCGACGTAACGGCTAGACATTTGTCACTTATCGTTTTCCGTAGTAGACCTATCGATACTTAGGTTCTGATATAAATTTAACTACGCGGCATTAAGCCCCGGTAGGCCAGTCCGCTACCAGAATTCAAATATATTTACAAACAACAATGGAAATTGTGAAAGTTAAAGTTTCGATTAACCACGTATTGGACGGTAAAGAAAATCAGGCATAAATTTATTAATACTTAATGTAAATTTTTGGACCATACTTCAATATCGTTTATATTTAATGGTGTCTCGTAGTTGACAAGGCCTTTTTGAACATTGTAAAGGGGCCTTTGCCCTTATGAAGGAGGAATAAGAACAATAAGATTTCGGTTAAAATTTGTGTTATTCTGATGCATTGACTTATTAAGAAGACTTTGTAAGGAGACTTGTACAAGAAATATACATGTATCAATATGCATAATAACTTAAAGAATTGTTTCCAAACGGCCTTTCATAGGTTTTCGTGAAATGTTCAGAGTACCAAAACGCGATCTATACCAAGCGTGATCAATACTAGTACTTCCCAAAGTACGTCTAACGTCATGTTATATATATATATATATATAAATTAATGTATCCAACCCTGCACCTATTTAAAGCGTTCAATATATAAGACGAATTGTAACAGTGTAAATATTGATAAACCTCTTATCTAATCTAAAGAGAAATGCGGAATGACACTTCCTCTTGGAATTTCAATCGACAATAGTAATTATCATCGGTCGTAGCGTACGTTCAAAGGCATTCCGCGACTTCCTCCGTTATCATTCGATTGCCAATAACACAAGTCGGGTTATTTAATAAAGCCGCTTGTAAACATCGCATCCGCGAACCCAATTTCGTTGTGAATGGACCTACTCATTCCTTAGTCATAGTGGTTGACTACGTTGCTTCACCAAACTTGCCGCGCGTAGTCTAGAAAACCGATGATTCACCGCCACATTTCGAAAATGTAGCCTGAATTTTAAGATGTTTTCCTCGTAAACATTTGGATCCTTGCACCCTTTAAAAATCGTAGCTGTTATGTCAGGAATATTTATTTTCATGTGAATGTTTGCACACACTGCTGTACGTAGGCCTATCCCACGGACGGCCACAAACCACGATCCTGAGCCACCTGCATTCATCGACTGGTTATCACTCCATCTAGTGAGGGCAGTCCTACACTACGATGGCCAATACGAGACAGCTACTAGAAAAACTTTCTTCCCCGTCGCGATCGGTTATCGGTATTTTGAGCATTTTTTTTTAGCTTACCCATTACCACTTCAGCTTACCTATCCTTTGAGCTTTATCCGTTACCTTTGTTCTACTGCGGATGTCTTCATAATAAACTGTATCACGCAGATGTTTGCCTTATTGAATTATTATTATCAGGACTAAAATAGATTATTTGTTTTTATTAATGAGATAAGATTTATTTCTGTTAATGTAAGATAATAAATGAATTAAAAACACACTTAAAATATTGTATGGACGATCGTCGCTTCCTCGATTCTGGCTGACGCAGTCTGAGATCAAGTTTTGTGCCGCCGTAAACATTGTATCAGCTTTGATAGACCACAGAATTCTTGTAAAAAGAAGACTGATTTCTCCCTAGGATGATAGGCGAGTCTACTGAAATTAAAAAACATTCATACTTCAATAGAGAAGAGGGTTGAGTTGCTTCCATGAGCCATGGGACTTTAATTATTAAAATTAAATCTTCTTCTTAATCGGACACTCTTGGCAGAGTGGTCTTGGCTGTCGATAGACAGGATTGCGTCTCGTCGTCGCTGTTCGCTTCCAAGGCAGCCGCACGTCTTGCGATGTTCCTCCATTGGAGGCGGCTGTTAGCAATGCGAGCACATTGTACTGTGGTGGCTTTCGTAGTGCTGGTGATGAATCCAGCTGAATCCAGCGCGTGCGGGCTCGACCTCGAGGTCTTTTGCCTTCTACAGGGCCTAGAATGAAAAGTCTTCATATAGAATCTACCTTTCCAGAGATGTGCCCAAAGAATTTAAAAATTAAATCTAAGTACTATCTAATCCAAACACGATTTTAGTTCTACTGATGGACAAGATTCAACCAACACTTTCTGTGTATATAGGACTTTTCTCGGTAGCTCGGTCTAACATTGACATTCAGAAGTCTAAGACCTCACTCTGCCCCGTGAATATGAATACTCTAAGATATTCAATAAAACTTTAAGCAGTTTAATAATTTCATTTAGTAATCCTATACATAATATTTGCCTGTTTTACTGATTTTATCAGTGTATATTCCCTGTTCACCTTTGACAACATTTTAAATCATACAGAGGGCAGACCTCGAAAAGTTATGTTTGTAATAGTTATTTTTAAATGTATCGTATAAACAATGCAAAAACGAAACATTGTAAAAAAAATTAAAATTTTCTATTTTAACAGTGTCGTTGTTCATATGCTGATAATATAAAAATATATAACTAAACAAAAAAAAATTGTTATTTCATATGCACACTAGCAAAAAAATAATATACTCTAAACAAGAATAAATATACATATATATACTCTACAAAATATTAGCTGTCGGTTTACGGTAAAAGCAACGATTATAATACGCAACGATTAATAAGCCCCGCTCATGAATTTAGTAAACATTTCATTCGCCACAGTCTACTGAGACTAATCCATTCATTCGATACACTTCGTGCGTTATAATTCGCAGATTTCTTCCAACAGAACGATTACATTATGCGAGCCAAAGCGTACCTCTTTATTGCTTTGAAGTTTAAAGACTCCGCATGATACGTAGAGCTGTTTACAGCAAGTTGAAACGAATTTCTTACTCCAATCGAATTAAACGGTATTACTGAAGAAATTATCGACGCTGATATGAAAAGGTAAACATTATATAACCAAAGCCGCTTCCTTTCCGAAAACAATAAGTGGAATTGTGCAATGAAAGATAATGGAGCTCTAATAATTCCACAATACTGAAGCTCGCTTTGCGCGATAAAGTCACCGCTTGAGCAGTTATCGGGCATTCAAGCATCATAGATGTAGTCGGTGTTTCAAAGGGGATTCAATATCGTAATTCTTTAAATATCAGTGTCGATTCGCGGCTCTCGGTCTCGCGCTGACATTGAAAGGTCGTCGACTCATCACCGCGACAGAATTGTCAACGACTCTCCTTTTGCGTGCTTGTTTTTGACGCTACCAAGAACCTGGTTCGGAGTCCCCAACGTATTCACAGCTTTCTTATTCTCAAAGAGTCTTGAACTTTTAATTCGCGTAGTAGTAATGATAATGAAAATTGTATAAAACGGCCCTTTCAGTCTATCCACACCACACGTTTTGTACGTGTAGCGATACCTCTGTTGCCGTCTATGTTGAAGGAAATAATTTAAATCTTATAAGACCGAAAGGATCACGCGTGCCCAAATGGAGACAGCCAAAAAATACGATCGGACGGGATTGACATTATTGATCTTGTCAATTCGGTGAGGTCTCGGTGATAAGATCGCGTCTCGTCGGAGTGGTTCATGAGGCGGATGCGAAGGTCCGTGGGTGGAGCTGCTGCCCCCCCTCCCCGCCTACCCTTTCCCTCCCTCCCCATCTCCCCGCAACACTCGCCATTCTAATTAGCCATTGTGATCGCCGGTTGAGTTGAGGTTTGCGATCGGTCTGACCGGCAGTAGCGCCGCAGCCGCCGGCGTGCGGGCACGCGTCCACTGCTCCCCCGTGACGATGATAAGTGATTGACAGTGCCCGAACGGAACAACAAACTGAACGTTACGCTAATCGCGATATGTGCTTGGTGACATTCAATGGCCACAGCCCGTACTAGGTGTTTTCGCAGCGCAAGGTAAAGCTATTATATTAAAGACCTATGCCTCTGAAACAAGCATTGTGGTTGCTATCAGTGGCAACATTGAGAAATCATCACTGTATCTATACTTAAGAATGTACTTAGAAACAACTATGTTGAGCGAGTGTGTGAAGTCGATTGACAGTAGAGTCACTCTTAGATAATATGAATGTCGCATCTTTCCTCTATTTACGCATTTAAAGGAACCATTGAGGCTAACTACTTATTGCATATATAAATCAACATATATTTATTGATTCCGTCCTTATTAAATAGATTACCAGTTCATATAAACGTATATTTGACGTTTCTGTTGATAAATACAGTGATTCTATTTGGAGTGCGGATCATGAACTTATGATATCTTGTAAATTTACACGTGCATTTCTACAGACTTCACTGAATTCATGTGCTTCGGTTAATGGATCAACGTGCCCACCACATGTCACTTATTAACATTATGCGAACTTTGTTCCTGGTAAAAGCGAGTTTAAATAAGACACAAAATGTACGATTAAAAATGATATAGGTTTTCTTAAACGCATTCAAAAAAATAAATAATTAATATTAGTCAAATAATTCTTGAAAAATAATCGATAAAATGTTTAATTCGGGCGTTTAAAGTTCAAACACTCGTTTGCACTTTATAACTTTAGAATAGTTTACGCATAAATACATTGCACATAAATGGTGTCATAATTAATGTAGAAGTTAAAGTAGTTCATTAATTTATGACTAGCTAATGGCTTTTGGAATTTGGGTACTCTAATGTATTAATGAATATGATTTTTATACTTAGAAAGTTTCTACGGTCTTCTTAGAAAGCTTATTAATAAATAATAATTAAGGAAATAATAAGTTTTCGTACAAAACTTTCTTTTCTATAAATCAAAGCAGGACTAGGTTTATAAATATTTTTAATAGCCATTTACACTTATTACTAATCAAAATTAGTACACACGGTTTTGTATGAAATATTTAAATTTTGAATGAAATGTAAATAAATCCAGAATTTTAAATTAATTCAAAATTAATTCAGAAGCCTAAAATGATGGTGACAAAAAGTTACATATCTCTATTTCTTATTCTTTGTAAAGTACAGCATATAATATAACATGCATATCCCTACGGCGGCTTGCAGGTAGAAAAATTTAAGTCTCATTAAAGCTTCCTTATTACTTTTTAGGGTTCCCTATTTGGATACGGAATCCTAGGGTAAAACGGGACCCTATTACTGAGACTGCGCTGTTTGCCTGAGTGTCATGCTAAAAACCAGAATAAAAAAATAAAAATAGATGTCGGAACGGAACCCTCCATGTGCGGGTCCGATCCGCACTTGGCCGTTTTTTTTAATTAAAGCATGTAATAATTATTATTTTTACCCTATAAAGCAAATGAACAAGCTTATATAATTGTTTAACAGCGACAGGGCAGATATTCTCGTTTTAAGTTGTCCTTCCAACGTGATATATAAATATTGCATGACATTTTAAATAACCAACATATTGTTGATATGGAAAGAAAATATTTTGATATGGTCCACCTTAAACACGAGATCTATGTTAAGTGTAAGTGTCCGCATAAGTGGGGTTGGCACCATATATTAAACCTGATGTAGTGGTATCGGCTGGGTTTTTTTACGGTGTCCCGCCTGGCTGACCACCCCCATCACTTAGGCACAAACACACAAATCCGGAACAATTATCAATGTGTCACACAAATAATTGTCCCGTGTGGGAATCGACTCCCGGCCCCGAATACAATAGCTTAGCAACTGCTCCACCGAGTCATTATTATGTTAGGATTCATAATTATGATAAAGTTATCAACACTGAGCGATTTAAAAATTTATTCGTCTCTCACATTTTTATTGAGCCAACAAAATTCTTTAATCATTTAGTTATTGAGCTAGCAAACTTCTTTAAACATCATTTAGTACATTTAAAGGTACTAGTCGCCCAGTTGTCAAAATTCAACCATAGTTAAATACATGGTAGTATGTGTAATGTTTTAATCACGTGTAATGTGTAATGTATTTAATGTATTTCTTATCCATAATTTACTTACTAAAAATATTCCCATTCTGCATTTTCTATATAAAATATAAGTGTGGGAAATTTCTTACTCTTCCGTCTGCGCAATTTTTGTAAAAAGGGATACAAAGTTCTTGCTTCACGTATTAATTTATAGAATATAATATTTATTCTAGTTTTTACGGGCTTATCGCTCAAAGGTCGTAAGAAAACTATAATAAAATTACATTAATTCCATGTTCAATTAAAAAAAACACACTCTACTTGACAGATTTTCCATCGAAATCTTAATTCTTTCAACAAGTCACTACTATAATCCTAATCTTGGGATTTAAACTTAGGACTCATTTTTTTTCTATGAGCACCAAGTTTTTGTCTATGAAAATTTATTATCCTGAACATTTTTAATGTGGCAGAAACCTACCCCTCTTTCCTAATTTCCTTTCTTATGTACTTATAGACAATCGTGTACCTACTTCGTAAAGTTAAATGGTGAATATACTACTAACGTATACTATATAACAATGTCTGTCGGCAGCCATTGTGCATGCGAAACTGACCTTGTACAATAATGTCTCTTAGTTAAGAATGCGTTGGTATACTGCAGTGCATTTGGCACTAATCCGGAATATTTCATTGCCTATTACCTCTCAATTCAAACTCGGCTGCATTAAAGCGAACTTTAGGGCTCAAGCCTAGCCCGGAAAGTCACTAATCAAATCGACAACGCCATATGAATAATAGAGGCCGGGAAAGTGATACCACGAAGTGGACGCAGTCAGCTCATGACCTGAATAGATATTGCCTTATAATTCGTCAATCAAATTCAAATACCTTTATTCAATATAGAAGCATTACACTTACTTTTTGATTGTCAAAAAAACACTACTACCAGTTCGGAAACAATGCCACTGACCTAAGAAGAACCGACAGAAATTTGTTTTTACCGTAATTCGGCAAAAACATAACAAAGATATGTATAATATAGTAATCGAACCTGTAACTCCCTTTTATTTATTATGTTGTATGGCTGATGTGAAGTTATTTTTAACAGCTTTCTGCGATAGTTTCGTATTCAAAATTAACTTCATTAACTTTAAACATAACTATGTCCGTTCGTTGTGACAACCACAACACGATGTCAATCCTATGGGGGGAAATTTAAATTTAAAAGTTTATAACATTTGCTTGTAGCCGCACATACATGTATTATGGATGACGTCTATCACTTAACATCAGGTGAACCACCAGCTTGCTTGCCACAAAAAAAAACATAAAGGCGGTTCAACTGATGTTAAGTAATTACCGCAATCCATGTATATCTACAACATCTAAGTAGTTGCAGATACGTTATCAACCTTTAAAAATCGTGAGCCTCCACACCAGATGGAGTATAGTAAATATTTCTATTTCATCGCGGTCTTCTTTGAGACCACTCCCATACTATCAAAATACTTCCCCAGAAGAGCCTACTATTCGTGCAACAGCAGAATAAAGGCTGTATAGTACATGTGTCCAATGAATTATTATATTCTTTGAATTGATATTATGGTAATAGATTTATATAGTAGCGTGTTGCATTTAAAAAATGAGGAAAGTAATAAAATAAAGCAATAAGTACAACCTTTAAAGTTCAAGATTATTAAAAGTTAAGAGTAATGTTTAAACTATATAAGAAAGAAAAAGTCTGTTTTTCTCCAATGAAATCTATCTCATTACAAAAAGAAAATGTAATATCGAGACAAGATATATATAGATATTGAATGTATCGTAAATGTTTCTATTTTACATTTTAATATACAATATTAATCGAACTCAAAGTAAAGCTTTAATTTTAAGTGTAGATAGGTTACCATTTTCTAAAAGAAGGTAGATAGGCAATGCAATAAATGTTTCATCAGTTCACATTTTAACCCATCATTGTCCCAAATCTTTCAGCTCTATGTCTCTACGTAGAGCCCTTATTCACCTGTTCGCACACGTGGCTACCTGGTACGGATCCAGGCGCTTCTATTGAGTGAAGCGAGCACAACAAACCGATACGTAATTTATGTAATATCTCTGGAAGTGTGACGAAACTTCGGAGAACCGTGAGTCACTTCTAGTCACAAGTGACCTGTTGCGTCGCCCAGTTGGGTCGCTTTTTTACTTCGGCGGGCATTAGTCACCATTCGCGGCTGGATAACAGACTTATCAATGAAATCATTATGTAATCACCCCTGTGGTATGCGATGCCAACGTCTGCTTTAGTCTGGTATCTTGTTTTTTTTTTCATCTTTTTTTCGATTCTCATAACGTTGCGATATTCACTCCGGATGACCGTATATTGACGTAATTCAACATATTATCTATTAATAATCGACTTTTAAGCGTAAGAAGATGATATACATATGTGTATGTACATATTATATCAATCGTGTTTTATCAATTATTCATCAGAGAGATAATTTTTTTTCTTTAAAAGAATTCAACAAAAGAAATAACTAACTTCACATTCGTGTTTGAAAAATCATATTATTCGTGACTGTGCACGACATATGACATATAACAACATTTAACATTCCGCAAACACGTGCAAAACACCGATTTCCTTGGCCAAAACGATAAACCTATCCGATGAAACCAAATCACTCGCGAGTGACACCTGCTCGTGATAGCCTTAATGAAAAGGCATAAACACAAGTGAGCAAGCGGATCGTCTCAAATTGCCCGATGACGCCGCGCCGGCCGACGCTATCATGACATCAACCGTGCCCACGTCACCCCACGTCACGCGAACCCGAACGGCATCTCCGTAATAGTGGCAGTCATCGCGTGTCACAACCAATTAACGTCGATAAAAGCTATGCGGTCGCGCAGAAACCTCGATATTTGAATCGCTGGCGCTATTTGAATCGATACAATGAATTATCGGCCATCGATGATAATGTCAAGCTCGGGCGTGAACGTTCGATAATGCGAAACGATGGCGAGCGCAATCGGTGTCTTTCATGTTGAATCGACACTAATTGATCGAGTGCTCGCCAATGCCGATGATTGGCATATTTTGATTGGATCGGTTGCGAAGGCATCGTGTGTAGGCGTCATCAGTATGCGCGACGACGTTCCACGCTCGACACACGAATGCTTGGGCCGCGGCGGCTACGCTGGAGTCTCCGATGACTCACGCATAGATATCGCATTACGTCGCCAATGGTTTCTTTGACCCTGTTGAACGGTTTCACCCGGTGCAATAAGACGTCCTTGCTCTGAATCCAAAGCAGCCGCCGTGTTCCCGGTATAGCAATAAAACCCGGCGGCACGGGACCAAAGTGCAGGGCACCATTTGCTATTGTCATGACTCTATCTGAGAGATACCCTGATATTACAATTTGTTTCAATAAACGATACATCTACATCTACGGTTGTTTTGAGAGATTTTAACCAAGTTTGTATTACAATAGAACTGGATGATAGAAGTGGAACAAAGAATTTGAATATCAGGCCCCGAATTACCAAATCATTCAGGCATTCAGTAACGTCTTGCCACGGTAATATTCCATTGTACTTAGTCTTAAATGGGAGCTTGTTTTAGTGGTTCTAAGACGTTCGGCCGTAAGAATAATTGCAATATCGTGTTGATGGGCCATTGCGATAGGGTCTGTGTCTAAAGCCCACTGAATCGCATATTGTGTCAAGGACATTTGATACTGCGGCAGACAAAACGACGACGCCTTGACATATATATCCATGTGGTTCGACGAGTCCACCGCGTCTTTTGAACCATTCTTCGAAACACCGCACTGCAGCACAAGCTACAACAATTTTCCATTCCATTGTACAACTTCACCATCCAATTCCAACAGAATGATCTTCTTAATGATCGGAATGATCTATAAAAACGACAAAAAAAATCATGTCTGTTATATGGGGGCCCCCACCTAAATATTTTATTTTCTGTTTTAGCTTTTGTTGTTATAGCGGCAACAGAAATACATCATCGGTGAAAATTTTCGTTTTGATGGTAATAAACTTTGGCTGGTTCGAAACTGGCTGACCTTTAGCTTCTTTACATAAATAATTGACGTGGTATTCGATTTCGCTGCTACAAGATTTAAAAACATAACAATCTTAAGAATGTCTTAAAAAAAATCAATTATTTATTTATTCAATCTCTACTATCAACTTAAACTCTTGTTGGCAAACAGACCCTCTCAGCAGCCTTTGATGTTGCACGAATAACTAGGGACAAACACGAATAAGGAGGGTCATTCGAAAGAGTACCACGACCTCACAGAAGACCGGCGTGAAGTAGAATTGTTACAATTCTGCGTTTCCTCTGATGAGTAAGGCAACTGGGACCCGCTTTTTGAAAAGGTGCAGATGTTAATCTGCAATCCCACTAGTGGTGTAGAGGTTCATGGACGCTCTTATCACTTAACATTAGGTAAACCAGCTTGTAAACTTTTTACATAAAGATACACTAACTGCTTATAACGCAATATCAATAATGTTCCATTGTTACCACTTAGTTTAGAATAGACTGCCAATGGCAAACATTTAATCAAAACCATGTATTCTTAAAGTTGAAAATTGTGTTTAACATTATACATAACAAATACATTAATTGGGATTAAACAATCAATATTCGCCGACTATACCATAATTCTATGTATATGTAATACACGAAATGAATCAACAAGCAATTTGTCTCCTGCCTAGGTGACTGACTCACTGCAATTCGGTCTTTTGTGTTTCTTAGTTATCTTTGCAATAGAAACCTATTGGTAACCGTTGTGTACTCTACTATTCTTTATTATTTTGTATATTATATATATATATATATATATATATATATATATATTAATTAATTTTTTATTTTCTCTAAATATCGATTGGGTATAAGTTACATAACAGATAATTTTAACTATGGTATCTATAGAATAGCTACTATGCTTACTAGCTTCTTAATATTAAAATAGGTAATCCAAAGCATAATGTAACAAAACACGATTGTTGCCTTGCCTTTTTCTGATGAAAACCATTTATTTTACAATCCATTGGAATGTTAATGGATTTCCTGTAGAACACAATACGCGAGTAATTCGTAATTTATGATGCTATTCGCCTAAGCGACCTCCATTTGTAAAGAACATAATCGGATTAGTTTTATAACTGGCACTCGGCATAACCCGTGTCTTTGATCACCAGATACCGGAATTCAACCTGGATGGGAACAACAGCCTAAAGCACAACGGCAGCGCCAAGGATCTGGCCTCCGTCATGGAGAACCTGAAGAAAAGCAGCCTCGTCTCGCGACAAAATCAAACCCTGAACACTCAGGTGACCAGTTCTTCGACACAACAGGTAAGTGTTTTACATAATAATTTAATTAACTTTAATTAATTATAATTTTATATATTATTTGTATCCAATTATAATAAATGCTATTTACTATATATATTTCATATTGTTATTTTCATATTTATTCTGTTTATTTCAAATTTTATTATTCTGACATCTTTTGCTGCACCTACCATAAACTCTCACCACATCCTGGGTTGCTGGTAGAGAATGCCTTTGGGCATTAAGTCCGCCCTTTGTTACCTTGTTTTACTGAAGGTTGGCAATAAAGATTAAATAAATAAATAATTTCTTTAAGTTACGCGATTACATTTGTTGGTCACTGGATACACCATGAACGCTGTTAAGGGTTCGAAACGTCGGGAATTAAAATCAAAAATAAACGCGATAAATCCGTAAACATAGTTTCATTTAGGTAAGTGTTTTATTTCAAACACTTATTTGATGTTATGTTGTATTTGAAAATGTTGAAAATTTAATGCTCTATGGATTAACATTGTCGTCATAAGAAAAGGAAACAGATGCTGCTTCCTTAAGATTATAACTTTTTTCTATATTTATACCATAATATTTCTTTTTCTGCTTTATACGACTCGGCTATTATAATATTAATATTTATAAGGCAAATTTGTGTTATTATTTATTATAATTATCGCACAGGTATTTAAATATATGTGCATATAACTATTTCAGGGATATTCTGAAATGTAGTTTCTTTGTCCATAAGTTAAGGATTCTATAATTATTGCGACTTTAATATGAGGTTCATCCAGGTAATAGTGAATAGGCTGGTACTGATCTAGTGAGTTTACTATTTAGGATAACATCTCTACTTACCTTCAAGTAAGATAAATGCAGGGTAATAGGTACAGGCCAGTTTTTGGGTAAAAAAATTGAGATGTTTTTGAATCCTCATTCCTTTTTCTAACTTTTCATAAAATCACGATGAAACTGCGGTACATGAGTGATTTAGTTTTCTTTTAGCTCTTCATTACAACAAAAACACTGTTTACTTTTTAAGTGTTTCGAATAAACACATTTTACGTTCCACACCAAACGTTTTTGTAATATTTTTTAAACGTATCTGGCAGCCTAAGCCAGTCTGTTTCCTTCTTGATTTACGCCGACACTTTTAACGGAATGAAATAATGCGAAGACAATTAATTTCAAAGATAACGCGTTAAAACTGTAACGTTAAATTTACACATTTTTTCCAACTTCTAAACGAGGCAACATTACAATGCAGCGGGCCATACAATTGGGTGTTCTGTAAATATTATTAAATTTATTAAATAAAAACAATAATATTCAGGTCAATACATGCAAAATATTAATAGATCGGCCGGTTAGCATTCTTTCTAGTGATGTAACTAGTTCGCGCGGTATAGCTCGTTGAACAATTCTCGGAAGCCCCAATGGACTTCTCAATTGACAACGATTCGGTAATGCTGCTTACATGTTACAATATTACTTGTAATGTTGGTTTGCGTTTATATATAGACGGCGGTTTATTTCGGCCCGACCTCGGCCGGTTCATAAAACGGCCGGTTTATTTTGAATTCGGCCGGCGCGGTACGCGCGAAAAATAAATAAAACAAAGCGAATGCGCCTCGGAACTAAGCACAAATCCGAACCTCGGTGTGTATTGTTTAAAAAAAACGAGGTCGCTACATCTTATGGTTTCCCAATGGCGCGGAGTTGGTAGGCCTTTGTGTTTGAATTAGCACGCCCACACACGGCGCCGGTCAATCTGTCTTTCCATCGACTCCCCGGCCGTATCTTTAACCGTGCTACGCGGCGTTTCTTAATAGGACCGCTATACGTGTTTAATGCACCGCGAACTGTTTGCTCGCAGCACACCGTCGTTGTTGGAACGAAGATAGATGGAAACAACTCTTCAACTCTGTCAATCGTCGGGAATTGTATTGTTGCAGCCCTGGTTCAGTAAACCAGATGTTTATTGCGTCGCTAACAGAATTCAGCTCCTCATCCCAAATATGGTAAATTACATGTATGATTATACGATATCATTAATAATTTTCCAAGTAGTGTTGCGTACAGTTTGAGGGCATTTAGAATAACAAAAGTTATTTAAAACAAAATTAATCTTTTGACGGCACTACAATGCCAGTTGGCAGTGTTTAACTGGCTACCTCTTTTCATAGCTTAAATCAGCAGTACGGCATGTTAAGAGTACTTTAATAAATAGTAAGATATACTTGAATACTTGAATTACGACACTGACTGGAACAGGAAATGTACATAGATGTAGCGAGCGTCGCTTCTAATGGTGGCGGAGCGCTCCTCAGTGGCGTCTCTGGCGGCGCGCCAAGCGGAGCGACGCGTAACGTAGGACTAGGTCCGTGTTATTAGCCCCGGGAAGCCACAATCGGTAACACGAATGATTTCTTTCAAAAAAACCCCCGGCCATATTTTCTTTAATCTGGTATAAATTAAAATTATTCGAATTTTGTTACATTCGGTGTTTGACTTTGTCAAGTTTCTCTCAAAGGTAAATTAGAGCTCGTGCAAAATGAATACCATATCTTTAACTAGTAACACGACAGTAATAAAAATAAAGACGTGTCTGTGATTTGAAAATGTGTCAAAATTTAAGTCAATACTACTATTTATGAGACGGCTATTTAGATGACATTTTTAAATTAAACCAAATTTACGGATTTATCGCGTTCATTTTTATATCCCGACGTTTCGAACCCTTTACAGCAATCATGGTTTCAAAATTTTTAATCAGCCCGTGCCTTTGTCTATATATAAGTACCATAATCCATACTTCATTTTACATTCTAGTCATAATTGTCCTATTCAATTCACAAATGAAATAACAAGAATGCCGACGCCATGTAATTATCCGAGAGACGAATCGAATCTTACACAACGGTAAAAAACAGTCTATAACCTATGACGTTGAATACAATTACATAACTCGATTTAAAAATATTATGGATAAAGAACGTAACGAGCAAATCGGTTTAGACTACATCATTGCCCTTCATCAAGTGGAATAGTGGTCAAATTCTACTCGTTTCATGAATAAAAACGCAGACTGATTTCCTAATCACCGTGATAACTTTGTCAAAAGTAAAAAGTTCCCTAAATTTTACATTAAAATTTCATACGTTTGTAAAAAAATATGTTAACAAAAATAATTAAACCAGTTAAATTAGTACTTAATGTTAGCGCTATTAGAATAAAAATTGTAAAGAAATTTCTGCACTTCACAATAGATAACATTATATTTAATGGCCATCTGTGCGGCGTAGTCGGACCCTTTTTTAGGGTTCCGTACCCAAAGGGTGAAACGGGACCCTATAACAACAACTTCGCTGTCTGTCTGTATATCTGTCTGTCTTACTGTCTGTCTGTCTATCCGTCTGTCACCAGGCTGTATCATATGAGCCGTGATTGACAGTTGAAATTTTCACAGATTATGTATTTCTATTTCTCTAAACACAAACACTAAAAAACTAACAATAAATACTAAAAAGCAGTATAAAAAACAGGATAAAAAATATTTAAATGGGGCTCCCATACAACTGACATGATTTTATTGCCGTTTTTATAGACACTGGTACGGAACCCTTCGTGCGCGACTCCTACTCGCACGTGGCCGGTTTTTTAAACTTCTTTCTAAACTATCCTAATTCCTAGAAACCGAAACTATTGCCCACTAATCATTCCAAGGTGGTAAACTAATTGATTAATTAATTAAAAGGGTCCAATTACTTAATTGTTCTTTTGTAGTACTTGTTCGTTTGTATTCGTTCAAATTTCCTAGTAGGTCACTGAGGGGAAATTAGGTAATGATAAACCAGCCTGATACACTTGGACCATGACCTTGAGAACATTGAATTACCCTTAATTATCGCGACAAACGCATCCACAATACATACTGAAAATATGTATATTATCGTACCTATTGTGTTTTTCGATGGCTTTTTCGTACTAAATGCGGAGTAAATTTTTTTTATATCCTAAATATTTTAAACCGCAATAATTTCTTGTGTTTAAACATAAAAAAAACGAATAATATTGTAATTACTCTGTACTTATTATAAGACCCGTCGTTGAAGAAATCCGTGGGTCATTAACATTCTTATGTAATGAACTAATTTCATTGTTATTTGATTTAAAACTAAACCTACCTAGCTCGTGTGTATATGATGCTGGCAAAAAATTGTACTGTTACAAGAAAGGTAGGCTCTTGAAGTGAGTTAATTTTACAATGAGGCCTACTCTTTTAAAGATAGTACGCATCTGCAACCCCACTGATGTTGTTCATGGGCTGTGGTAATCAATAAATAAGTCAACATATATAAAAGTGGTAAAATAATTTATGATACAAATAATATATTACATTTTTTTTAGTATAAACAAATTTGATCGGTCGAATCCGAATGCATCTAGACAAACTTTTTTTTTTTCTAGTATCAAACAAAATATTTTAGATCCCACGTCTCAGCATAGCAGAGGTTCATATACTGCCATATGACTCCGCTTCGGATGCATACTAGACAATTTTCCTCGCAATAGTTTTCTTCAAAGGCGAGCTTTTGTTAAAACTGCACTTAAATTCAATTAATAATATCAATGGCGTCGGCATCGGGATTTGAAATCACAATCAGGTTACTCGAGAATATATTAAAAGCCAGCAACCGGGCACCGAGCTATCACGGCTCACTCGGCGGTGTGCTAAAACTCGGCTTAATCTGTAGAGGAGGCTACGAATTTTGGTAATAGAAGTGAAGCTTGCAAGACAGTATAGAGAAACGAAATAGGGCAGAACGTGTTCTTATATATTTTTTTGAGTATTAGTTTAATCGAATCAAATCATTTATTCATCGAAATAAGAAATATACATTTCATTTATAGATAGTCATTTTTTAAATCTACCACGTTAATCGTAATGAGGTTCCTCTAACGGAGAAGAAACAGGCAAAAAAACTCCGTAGGTATCCTCTTTTTTGTCATTTTTTTTCTCGAACAATTACATTTTTATACAGTACATGTTTTTTTAGAAAAAGCTTAGGAGCGATCCTCTAATTTCCAGGAGTTGATGTCGTTAATATATTCATTTATATTATAATAACCCTTTTTAAAAAGTTTTTCTTTTATACATTTCTTAAACCTGTTAATAGATAGGCTTTGCACTTTAACTGGGATTTTGTTGTAGAAGCGGACTCTATGTAGTCTTGTAATTAGTAGATTTTATTCGTAATCGTCATATTATACATATCTAACAATTATTTATGACATAATCTATATTTATATATCATATAATATATAATAATGGGTGATAGTAGATGTTGTGACATAATCAAATATTTTTAATTATTACATAATCTTTAATATATATTAACAAATACAAGAGTGAGGTTCTAGAGCATTGTGCAGCATCTCCTGCATTCCGCCCACATTTGTTGAGTCATCGATCTTCCCACCGGGGTATATAATGCCAAAAAACGACATCGGTCGTCCATTTCTTGAAATTATACAAACAGTTATACACTGTATATTTTTAAGTATTTTAAACTAGTCTAAGGATACTTTATTCTAATTATTGCTCTATCGCACAATCAACGATTACTTCCATTACTCTAATTGTTCTACAAATATTTGCAAGGTAATTAATTAATATTTTTTATTAATCGTTTCACCGCACCAATTGGTCCTCGGACCGTTAGAACAATGTTCGTTTGTAGACGTGTTTATTTATATTTTTGTCTCGCCGCGTTATTTTCGTGCTCTGCGATTTCCATTTGCCGTCACTATTTACTTGTATCGCATTTGCGCCAAGGGGCATGACGCCCGCACGTACACTGCTAACGTTGGCACTGAACTCCAGTCCGCGTCTAGATAACGGTTGCGAAAGACGACGAGCGCCTACAGACTCGGTGTCTGCGCAGTAATAACCCTTGCCGAACAATCGCCCAGGACCCGGCGGCCTTCCAACGTTTCTCCTGATACCGTTATCGAAGCGGAGGTTAATAATCTTGTTTACACACAATGAGCTCTTGTTTACGCCTAAAGAATTGTATATTTACCCCCGCTATCTCTGAATGCACCTTTGTAAACAGTGCGAAGGAATGACCTCGAGTAATGCGGCTTAATCTTCGGCAGATGGTTTCCAGTACAACGTCCAGTAGTGCGGCGACCAGCCAGCGAGTGCAGAGCTCGTCGCAACGCCTCCAGCACATGACCGCCTCAGAATTGAAGGCGAGCTCGATGAAATCGGACCTCACAGAGCTCAAGAGCTCCATATCGGAAATGAAGAACTTGAGCAGTTCCGCCCTTAACTTCGGACAAAGGTACACGCACACATGATGAGTCACTTTGTTATTTTTAATTTTACGTAACGCCTTGCACATGTGACAAACGTGTCAATGTTTTTGCACGTTGTCAATGGGTATTTGAGATAACGGGCGCGCTGGCTCACCTGAGCTCTTGCTTGGCTCCGTGCCAATTCCCATCCAACGTTTCCCCGCGAGTGTTAGCAGTTTCGAGCCGACAAACAAAAGCAACAGTGCTATCCGCGCGGAGATCGTTTCGAAGAATCTTTTGTTGAAACTTGCGTATAATTAAATGCGTAGCAAACTTCGGCCACACTCTGGCCGCGCGCATACGTCGCGAGTGTCTCACGTGTAGCAACTTGCCATTCACAGGCTGCGGAGCTCTATGGAGAACATTGTGGATCAGGATGAAAGGCACTTGCCCGACATACGCGACCTGGACGAGATGGGCGACTACAGTGACATGGGCGACATCGGCGACATAGCCGCCGAATCGCCCCTAGTAACGTTTCCGGAGTCCGATACACCGCCACCCGCCAGTGATAAGTCGTGTTTGCTCGCCGGGAACAATGTCTCAGTGGGGTCTAGTGCGGCGAATGAATTGAAGTACAGTGCGGCCCGGGTGACGTCAGCGAGCTCGACCAGGGTGGTCGCCGATGGATACAGTGCCTCGAGGTCTGCGGCGAACAGTGCGAGGATGAGGAGGTTGCAGCACGGCGACGTGCAGTATGCAGAGCGAAGCGCCGCGAGCGCCTCCCACCGGCTACTGCAAGCCGAGGGCTTGACTGCAGAACAAAATGACGCCTATCTCCAAGTAAGTTAGATACGCTTTTTTGATAGATAAATTAAGGTGTTTTCTCAATAAATTTATACCGCATTGCGGTGGGGAAGTGGAGGTCATTCGAAATGACGCCTCATGGACTCCATTCTACAAACATCTCACTTGTCTGCTCTGTATATATGTAAACAAGACTTAAACATAACCAGCAAAAACATTATATACCATTATATGTAAATTAATAGTCTATGCGGTAAAACTACCGAGTAACGATGTAAAAAAACTACTAAATTGTTCTTGGAAATGCTTGAAAACAAAATAGGAGCCAGAAAGGCGCGCCGAAGGACGCGACCTCGCATGCACGAGACGGATCGATACTACCCGCCGCCGCAAGGCTACGAAGGGGAGACGCTCAGTGTACTAACGCCCCTTGCGACGGTCAGATGGTGCATGTCCTATGGGAATCTCGTGAAACATGGCTCGCATAATAGCGTGGACCGCCAGAGTGCTCAAGCGCGGTGGTTCGCCGAAAGCGGTGAGCGGCCCGCCTGTTCTGTGCCGCGTATTAGCGCTCATTACCATAGACTAAGGAGGACGATGCTATGGTGCGGCCCAGGCCTCGGGCATTTATCACGCGCTTATCGTGAACACACCATGCTCGTCTCAGTCCGTGCCGAACCGTTGCGCGCGAGCAACACACGGAAGTGGTATTGCGCACGCGCTCCTGATACGCGAATAGCCGCGCTTTAAATATAGACGCGGTATGTCGGGCGGGGGGTCGGTCCCTTGGCCCGTGCACCGGCGCGTCCTCTCGCGTTACCCGCCCGGCGCGCTGGAACCTTCGGTAATGCAGCCCTTTGGGGTATCCTTACTGCCGGCCTCCGTCCACGCCCGCCGCCAACGTGCGCGAACTTTAAAATAATCGCGATGCCCACACGGGCTCCGCGCGATTGGCCTACATCCAGAACGGTCGCGGACGCAACGCGCATTTTCGATTTCAGTATTTATAAAGTTTCCGCGTCGGCACGTTCTCCATTAGGCGACGAAATGTCTTCTAAGCGACGCCCGAGGCCGAAATTGCGTATAGTTATTCCTGTAACTACCGAATATTCTGCATGAATCACACGGGTGTTAAAATTAGCGCGTCAAACATGTCAAAAAGAGCGATGGTCGCGATAACAGTGTTTCTTTTAATCTAGGGCGCCGTTGGCGTAACGAAGTGTTTGTTCGTTTGAAGAAAAAAAAAAACTTTTGAGAATGCATTGTGGTCGACGATTGAGGTGAAATTTGTGTTTTTTTTTTTAGGAGCAAAGGTCGCTGAAAGCCGGCGAAGTGACCGCCCAGGAAGCGAACAACATGTCGGCTACCAGTTCAAGACTGCAGACGGAAGCCTTTAGCGCGGAGAAGAAGGCGATGGCGTCAGCGCAGGCGAGGCAAACTGTCACATCTAGCGGGATATTCAGCCACAAGGAGCACTCCAGCGTAGCGCATTCTAACATGACAATGTCCAGCAAAAACCTATCAACCAAATCCACACTGCTTTCGTCACAGGTGAACATGCATTGGTTTTGTCATACATTACAAAATAAACCGTTTAATATTTTACGCAAACTAATCTTTAAAGATCATTTAATGTAGCAAATGTCGAATTGAATCGTAAAATACGAAACGAATCACTGTTATTTACTCGTAATTGCGACCTTCGTTAGTTCCCACAGTCTGCAAGTTAGAGATAAATGCGAACTCTTATAACAACAACATTATAATTGCCAGTCTGACCCAATTGTAAAAAATTGTGTTCTTCATTACCTACATTCATTACCCCTTATATGGCATACAGAATTAATGATAAAGATTTGCACTAAATTAGACATTAAAATAATGTTGACGCGTCTTTTTTCGTCATGTTTACTCTTCAAATATGCTGATTATCACGACTCCGCTGAAACGTTTTACGTAGTCGAGTTCAAAGAAAAAAATAATTGTAGTACTTGTAGCGACGTTGTTTGCTCCGGATTGTTTTTGGGCTTATTCCCAAAAATAACAGCGTCAAGCAAAATCTTATATCAATACGTTAATAAAAGCCAGCCGTAATGACGTAAGCGTGATTTGCTTTGAATGTTATTTTCTAACACAGTTACATTGCCCGTTTCAGATGAGTCAACTATTGAACGGAACAATCAAGCCAGGCGATGAGGACCTCACAAATTTGACGTTCGAGGACTTGGACAAGTTGAACGCTAACTCAAACCAGAAAGACGTGGACTTGGCCATACAGAAGTATTCGTCGCGAATGAACGCATTTATTAACTCGATAAAAAACAATCAGATTGACATGAAAAACGCATCGGTGCACTTCAACAAATTAAACGAAATGATGAGGCGGGCGTGGGCCGTTCCCACGTACGGCCACGAGCTCGGCTACTCCCTGTGCAACACGCTGAGGACATCGGGCGGCTTGGACATCCTAATGGACAACTGCCTGGAGACGAACAATCCCGAATTGCAATTCTCCTCGGCGAAGCTTCTCGAACAGTGCCTCACGACGGAGAACAGGGCGCACGTGGTCGAGAACGGCTTAGAGAAAGTGGTGAACGTCGCTTGCGTTTGCTCGAAGTACGCGAACACGGTGGACCACTCTAGAATACGCACCGGCATACTGGAGCATCTATTCAAGCACAGCGAGGGAACGTGCAGCGACGTCATCAAACTGGGCGGCCTCGACGCGGTGCTGTTCGAGTGCAGGAAGAATGACGTCGAGACGCTGAGACACTGCGCCACGGCGCTCGCGAACCTCTCGCTCTACGGAGGCGCCGAGAACCAGGAGGCGATGATAAAGAGGAAGGTGCCCATGTGGCTGTTCCCGTTAGCGTTCCACAACGACGACAACATAAAGTACTACGCGTGTCTGGCCATCGCGGTGCTGGTCGCCAACAAGGAAATCGAGGCGGCCGTGCTGACTTCGGGCACTCTAGACTTGGTGGAGCCCTTCGTCACGTCGCACAACCCCTCGGAGTTCGCCAAGTCGAACTTGGCGCACGCGCACGGCCAGAGCAAGAACTGGCTGCAGAAGCTGGTGCCGGTGCTGAGCTCGAAGCGCGAGGAGGCGCGCAACCTGGCCGCGTTCCACTTCTGCATGGAGGCCGGCATAAAGAAGCAGCAAGGGAACACGGAGATATTCAGGGAGATCGGCGCGATAGAGTCGCTGAAGAAGGTGGCCAGCTGCCCCAACGCGGTCGCGTCGAAGTACGCCGCCCAGGCGCTCCGGCTGATCGGCGAGGAGGTGCCGCACAAGCTCTCGCAGCAGGTCCCTCTCTGGTCGATCGAGGACGTCAGGGAGTGGGTGAAGCAGATCGGCTTCGCCGAATACGCGAACAACTTCCACGAGAGCAGGGTCGACGGTGACCTGCTGCTGCAGATAACTGAGGAGAATCTCAAGGAGGACATCGGCCTTAACAACGGAATCAAAAGGAAAAGGTACCGACAAACTTCTCTTACCACTGCATACATACATTTACTGTCCGTGTTGAACAACATACCATAGCATCGTAATTAATAAATGTATTGGTCTATTTGTTTCTATACATTAGATGACACAATAAAATTAATTAACGATGAAACCAACTTCTCTAACGGCATATAGGATCTTTGCTAAAAACATATAAAAAAAAACATGACAGTGCTAGTCATAAAAAAAATCTAATCTATTTATTACTAAGTAATAGATGGCACAAAAATTTTTAACGACGAACTGAAATTGAAATTAACAATGGACTCGACTGATCGCATCGCATTTTGTATCCAGATTCACTCGAGAGCTCCAACAGTTGAAGAAGATGGCGGACTACAGTTCACGGGATACTGGCAGCCTGAACGATTTCCTGCAGAGCATCGGTCCGGAGTACACAATATACACGTACTCGATGCTGAACGCGGGCGTGGACAGGGAGTCTATCCGGGGCCTGAGCGATGAGCAGCTTGAGAACGAGTGCCGCATCGTGAACAGCATACACCGGCTGCGGATTCTCAACGCGATAAGAGGTATGCTATGTGCATGTTTAGCCCGCGGTATTCTTTATGCTATCTTAACGGAGTCAACGAAGCTCTGTTTATCATGTAATACCCCTGGATAAACAATATACTTTTGATCGATCATGACTCGAGATACAGTATATATTGAGAAAATTTTCGTCAAAACACAGTTCTAAGTAGCAAACATCACTTAATTGCACAATGTCACCAATCATTTAACAATTTTGGTGAATTAAACTGAACACTATGTATTATTTTAAAATAAGTCTTTTTATTATTATTATTATTTTAAGATACATTTTTATTTTTAGTGCTAATAAAAACCAAAAAATAAAGTCCGAAGTAAAAAAATATTTCTTTGTTAAAATATTACTTTTTGTTTAGACTAGATAGCCAAAGAGCTAAATCAGAGAAATAAATTACCATATAAAATTAATGATGCACGCTGGTTGATTTAAAGCTCAAGGCTTCGAATAAATAATTAACACTTTTCTGCATGTACTTACAACGCTTACTTCAGTGAATAAGTAGATGTGGTTGGTCGAAAATAGAATTGGAATCATAAGGTTTAGTCAATAAAATCAAATATATGTTCGTCTATATCATTACGCCCGTTTCTTTCCATGTCTGACAGTGATGACAGTGATGGGTATTGTAGAGCCCCACAACGAGCACTGATATCAAAACAAAGCACTTAGCCTTAACCTCATCGAAACTCACCGTCCAATTGTTGCAGTATACGAGAGCACCTTACCTAGCAAGGGGGAAGAGAATATGGAGAAGAATCTGGACGTGTTCGTGAGCTACCGACGGTCGAACGGTTCGCAGCTGGCGAGTCTGCTGAAGGTCCACCTCCAGCTGCGAGGGTTCACCGTCTTCATCGACGTGGAGCGACTGGAGGCGGGCAAGTTCGACAACAACCTGCTGCAGAGTATACGGCACGCGAAGAACTTCCTATTGGTGCTAACACCAAACGCCCTGGAGAGGTGTAAGCACGACACTGAGCAGAAAGACTGGGTACATCGGGTAAGTGGTTTTGGAGTTTTATTTTACATGTGGCTATCTTTGATCATATACACAATCGATAGTTTGATAGTAGTTCAGAACTAAAGAAATTTAATTTCTACGCCTCTGTTTCACACATGCAATAATGTAAAATCCGTACAATAAGAGGTAATTATGGTCCGCACTGCTATACCAATTAATTGTTACTGTATTTTTTAGATTGAAGTTAAAAATAAATATATCTTCTATACGTTTATTATCGGTACATTATGATTTACAACATTTAATCTTTATGTTGTAAGGATACAGCTGTTATATGACTACCGCTCATGGGTATCCACAATACCTATCGACTTGCAGATGCGTTGCTAAGTGAGGTAGGGCCACGCAGAAGCTTCCTCTATTATATGAATGAGTAGGCTCGTCCTGTAAAGTACCATAGTCTTTTAGAATACCGGCGTGAAGTGAAAGTACTTTCGCGTTACGTCGGTGATTGAATTAGACGGGGCCCACTTTTTCCGTAAGTGGCAAATCTGCAACTTTTTGCGTTTTATAGATATCCATGGGCGGCGGTGGTCTTTTAACAACAGGAGAACATGGCCACCGTTTTACAAAAAAAAAAAAAAAGAAATCAGAACTCCAAACGCTTGGCAAAACGCTCCAAATGTTAACGAGAAAATTTCCTCCCGCAGGAGATTGTGGCCGCGTTACAGTCCAAGTGCAACATCGTGCCAATCATCGACAACTTCGAGTGGCCGGAGCCCGAAGAGCTGCCCGAGGACATGCGCGCCGTTTGCCACTTCAACGGCGTCCGCTGGATACACGACTATCAGGACGCGTGCGTCGAGAAACTGGAGAGGTTAGTGACGTCAATTGCCTATATTGTCGTTAATTTCTGAGCGCTGTGCTATCTAACCTAACCTAAGCCGTGAGCTCAGTGTCCGTGCGCTGAGATATCACTAAGCCGTGAGCTCAGTGTCCGTACGCTGAGATATCACTAAGCCGTGAGCTTTTCGCATTGATTTCGATTAAGCTCAAATTTGATCCCATATTAAACTAATTTGTAATGGACCTTGGACTCGGTGAGACACATCAGGGAACGAAAACGAAAGGAAAATAAAACGAAATGAAGTAAAAAAAAAACAACGCTCACCAACTTGCTTACTGCATTAACTATATTCCGATTGGCTCTATACTCATAAATGTGGATTTGCCTCAGCTTCCTGCGCGGCAAGTCGAACCTGGGCACGCGGCTGGAGGGGGCGCTGCGGGGGCGCGGGGAGGCGGCGACGCCGGGCACCGCCGCCATCGGCCGCGGCCCCCCCAACTACCAGCGGATGGCCTCCTGCGAGAGCCGCGGCAGCGACAAGAACGACTGACTAGAAGCCGCGCACGCCCTGCCGCCGACCAGGTCGGTTTTTTTTTTTATAGTTATAGTTGTATAGTACACCTTTTGTCGCGTTTGGAAAAATTACGAGGGTGAAATATTTGCGATGCGCGCGCACCGACCCTCATAAAGCGACGCGATGCTTATGGTTACCGATTTAATCTCGGCAACAAATAACGACTTTTTGTTATTTAGCAATAACTCCAGCACACATATACTTTATTTTATTTATGTGAGAATATGCCAAGCGAGTAAGTGGTTCACCTGATTTTAAGTGATAAGCGCCGCCTATTGACATATGCAAAACTGTTTAGAAACTCGCAAACGTTTCCTATCCACTATACCGTTTTATTTCTTCAAATTTGCCGGTCACTTTATAACTATTCTATATAGATACACTATATATTCTATATAGACACACTATATTCTTTTTACTAAAAATTCCCCGTATAATTCAGCCGACTGTATTTCTTTAGTTAAAAAGTTCTTTTTTAAGGGTCAGACGAGCTCAGGTTTTATACATTTATATTTGAGAACGTCCAAAGTGAACTATGATTAACAATCGAGAAAAGAAAAATACTCAATTATTACGCTCTATTCCAGGCCGCGGAGAAGTCGTCGGTCATCATTAGAGAAAGCTTCGCCGACGAACTCCCAGAGCTGCGAACAATTGCCTAGTAGTTGCAACGCATCCAAATCAACGTCCCCCGTCAAGGCTTTGTACAGTCTGCCCGAGAGGCTGTCGGAGAGCTCCGACCACATAGACGCCGGCGAGAGCGAGAAATCGCCCCGCAGGTGTCGAAGCTGCGAGGGCATATTAGAAGCAGACGAGAAGGCGCACGCGCAGATCCCTTTGCCCACGCCCTTAGACGCTGCCACGCAAACGAAGAGGAAGAAGAACTTCATGGACAGATGCGTGAACAAAGTGAGACTTTGCTGACGAACTACTGAGCGCCGCGGCGTAACAAGCTCGCAGAGTGTGCTTCAATCGTTCAATAGGACTCCAATCGCATATACATGTGAATCTTATTTTAAAGTACAAAAACTTGCACAGCACCGTGTAAATAATTTGTGTATGGCCGACGTTAAAAAGTATATTGTAGTTTTTGTTCGGTGATCAAATATACCAGCGCTTGGTAAATCTTTAAGTTGTAATCTCAATGAGTGCATGTGGAAGGTATCACCCAAGGGAAGTGACGGCGGCCGCCACCCTGCCGTGTTTCAAGAACATCGCACGCGGTGGCGTCAGTAATGAATACAACAGTTTGCTATTCGTTGTAGTATGGCAAATTGCATAGAACTTCATTCACTTTGGCTAAATCGTTTTCATTTTTTTAAGTATCTCTCTATCCCTTCACTCTCTATAGAATTAACAGGATGAATTTATGAATGTATTTTATTTTTTTCTTAGTCTCTTGCCAATATTTGTAAATTACAAAATTCATACGGAATTGGAAATTGCGAATGTGATAGCTTAGATCTTTTACTGTAACGAATATTTCAAAGTTCACTCGAAATCTATGAATTATGCTAGTTATTTATTTTCTCCAGTAATTGCTTGGAAATCTTGTACCTATTAATTATAGTTGTACAAATGTGTACTTTAGGTTTAAAACAGTCATTGATGCATAAAGTTAACCATAATTTCAAATTATATATTTATGTACTAGCCTAACCATTCAAATAAATGGTATTATTGAACTATTCTAGTGTCTTTTAATTGACCTGATCATGGTATTCCGTATCAACTGTAAAACCATTAAAATTACATGTTAAGTGACCGGAAAACATCATTGAAAAATGATTTTGATTGCGGTTTTATTTTGTCTCTACGGACCTACTCGATTGGAACGCGAATTGGATCCCTTTGCGTTTGGTTGTACGAGAATGGAGATGCCGACACGATCACCAGTGGCGTGCATAGAGATTTCAGAGAGGATATGCACTAAAACAACTTGCCAATTTACACTTGGATAAGTGGCCTTTAAAGAAGTCGTGAGAGGTTAAAGCGCTTATCTTTGCGAAAATTAATTAAAATTTAAAACAAAGTTCGGTTTTAAGTTGTTTTATTTACCACTAATTACTTTAGTAATAAATTTTAAATTAGTAGCAACTAGCCGTTGATCGCGACTACGTCCGCGTGGAATAGGGTGAAAGCGAAAAATTCTGACAGATACATAGACAGATATCTTTACATATAATAAAAATGTAACTTGTTTTGTCTTTACATGGAAGGCATTTGAGAAAAACTATTATTAAAGGTCCCCTTTATCAACGCTATTGAACCCAAAACATGGTTGTAAAAAATTTTGCCCATGTATCTGTGCTTTTGTGCGCGCTAATCTCAAAAACGGCTTAACCCATTTAACGGCTTAAACGTAGTGATTACATTCTCTTTGTCTTAACCAATTTGAGTAACTAATGCATTGTAGTACTTCACTTAACATTTAGTGTTAGTTTTATTAAAATCGGTTAATAAATAAAAAAGCTATATCAACTTAAGAAAAAGTAATAGCTACAGCTGAGTTGGATGAAACTATAGTTAACTATAATTATATTATGGTCCGTAAAATGATGATGATTGTTAGATTATATAAATTTAAAAACCAGCCAAGTGCGAGTCGCAATTATGCACGAAGGGTTCCATACCATAATCTATAAGAACGGCAAAAAAAACTCATGTCTGTTGTATAAGAACCTCACTTAAAAAATATTCTGTTTTTTTTTTATTTGTTGTTATAGCATCCACAGAAATACGTCAGTTTTGCCTTCTGGGAAACAATTACTATGAATCACACAAATAATTGTCCCGTGTGAGAATCGAACCCACGCCGAAGGCAATGCCTTGACAATGGCGCCATGGTCAGTGATCAGGCGAGTGGTATTTGCGAAATAAACACAATCTTGTATGAGCCACGCCCAGTGAAGATCTCAGCTTGAATTAAATATGTGCCTTTGAAAAAGTTACGTTTATATGAAGTTAAGTTAAAGTTCAAAATGGAAAAGAATTATCCTGATATCAACAGGAAAATTTTTGGTTATGGGGCATTCCACGCGAAGCGGACAGGTAAAAAAAGTTGATGTTTCCGATTTTAGTAATATTTCATTATGTTATACCTATATATGTCCTCAATCCAGATACAAAATATTTTTACAGTACAAAATGTAGTTTACGATTTAGAGAGCTTTAAAAATGTGACTAACCGGCAGGTATGCGCTACTTCGAATCCCATTATCCGGTATTAAAAAGATTAACCTCCAGAGAAAATAACTGTGACGATCCCCATTGACCTTCATCTCAGTGTATGTACTGTAGTTTTCTGTCAATGGCCTCTATGGGTGCTCAGTCAAAATTCACTCTCTGTTTACTTTTTTACTTTAATGTCTACAACCTATAACTAAGTCTAACTTTAATGTACGAGATAATGAAGGACGAAATGGGTATCAGTGTCGTATTTGGTTCTCATTAGATTGTTGAGATCCAATCGTTTTCATTCCTTTTAATTCTATCGAGGCATTTTTGAAATAAATACTATAAAAGGTCGATACCGAATATAATATTATTTTTATGTTCAATTATTTAGAAAATACTACAAAACGAGTATCTTAGTTACAAAAAAATATCAGATACAATTTGTGAATCAGCGACAAAAAACAAAAATCATTTCCAAACCACAAAACAGTTAGTAATATCCGAATATCCTTGCACCAAATCTATGTATTCCTAAACAGTGAAAGATTTGACCGTTGGTCGCCCTAGGCTCAAAAAATTACTCGGTGAAAGGCACAAATAATTAAACAAAGAAAGTACATGATATTATGGAGCCAAAGAATAGTACCTACTTATCAGGCCCTTTTCATCAGGCATTTATATGGAATATCGCCTACGCAAAGAAGCCAGAGGCGAAAGGCGAGCAAAGCTACTAAAAAAAACCCACTAATTTGCAGCCCCTTACATTTGGCCCGCCGAAGTACGCGGCCTATGGAAAAATTCAACACTTCCTAACATCTAAAAAGTAAAAAATAAAATAACAATCTTTAAATGTCCCACTGTAGGGCGATGCCTCCATTACAGAGGGTATCAAGGCATAGTCCACCACGCGGCCCCACTACGGATTGGCGGACTTCACATGCTTTAAAATTTTTTTTCCGTATTATTACGAAAACATGCAGGTTTCCTCACGATGTTTTCCTTCACTATAGAGCACGTGATAAGTCAACACTTAAAATTAAAAATTTCATTGGTGCCGGCACCGGGAATTGAACTCATGTAGTATATTAAATTAAAGAGCCCGGACACTGAGCTACCGCGGCTCTTAAAATTTTTAAATACTGCATTAATTCAGGGCTTGAATACTGATTATGGTAGGCAATAGTAGGTAGTATAAATATTTTTAACTTAAGATTATTTACATTTACTTGGAGATTAAAACAACAATAATAACTCAATACAAAATATAATCTTTAATAAAAAATAATTTCTTAAAAATTGATTATAATAATCTCTTAACAAGAATTGATTTTCCTATGATAGGGCTATGTAGAAGTTTCTGTTGTTGTACAAATGGGCAGTTGAGTGAGGTAACTGCTGCTCAATCTCTAAATGTAGACAATACATCTGCTATGTAGAGCCGGATTTATTATTATGGTAGGGCATCCAGGCTACAGCTCCACGGGGCCTCCACAAAAAGGGGCCCCACAATAGACTTCAGAAAAAAATATCACATTAAGACCAGTAAACTCTAGTAAACAACTTTCCTTTCATATTTTTTCATAATTCCAATTTGCGATTATATTTATATGTTTGTTAAGTAATAAAAGAATCAAATAATAAATTGTCTATCAGTTTTCTAGTACCCATAGTACAAGCATTGCTTAGTTTAGGACTAGAGAATGTTGTGTAAAAAGAATGTGTCCTAAAATATTTATTTATTTTATTTATACTTATTTATTTACTTATTGGAAAACTCGACTGAAAAAAATTGTTAATTTTTTTTGGAAAATAATTCAAGGCCAAGGAGCCCCCACTCCTTTGTGGACCCCACAACTCTGGACCTCTAAGCGGAGCCCTGTGTAATGCCATTGGTATTGTTGATGCCCATGTCCAACACCACAACTGTTTAAAGATAGCAAGTAGTAAGTATTAACTGTGCATCACAAAAGGTTCAAATCAAAATATTTCACATAATTAAAATTACATCCATATAAACTGTAAATCATCAGATAATTGAAAGTTTACATAAATATGGAGGCAAAATGATGTTTAGAAATTGGTCTGTAAAAATTATAAACAAAGTAAGTTCATCATATAGTAAATTTTCAAAAAGAAAACTGGAAAAAGAACACAATGACATTGCATTTAAACAATTCTAAAACATAAGATGTTAATAACTATACAATACCCAAGATATGATACCACACTAGTAACAACAACAGAGCATTTCCAGCAGCATGGGGGCCTTAGTATGAATTACCATGGTCTTCTGAAATATTAATATGGATGCTTCTATATTGGACCTCATAGATCAATCAATCAGACTCTCATCCATTTCTCACACGCTCACCATTGACTCCCTACTTGGTTACAACATCGGCACAGATAGCTGCAGTGATTATTTTCCGACTTCTCATTTAGTTGCGAATACCTATAGCAAAATCGACCTTTTACTATGTAATCCAACCAGCATATAGCTTAGAGCTTACTGCTTGTAAAGTTTGTAAACTATTTATTTTCAAGATGGAACATTAACTTGTAATGAAAGTGAACATTCATCACATTCAACTATAATTTTGGGTGGGATCACGTTATCAACATTCACGTAATATTCGCCACCACATCTACACCGATATGAGTAAATTCCGTCTTGGTTGTTGAAATTCAAATCTGCAATAGATATTGTGTCATACAATAAATGTTCGTTGTGTTCTTCACACGAT